AATCTGTAAATTTTATTAAGACACGGAGGCTCCTATTATGCTAGTTCAAAGCTGTGAAATTATGTCTCCTGTGAAGTGTTGAATAGGTCTAAAGTAGAAATCATGGAATGTAGACTCCGAAGACCAGCCGCTCTCATAATATCCTCCAAGCGACAACCAATCGAGGAAGCCTTAGAAGCCATTGCCCTACGAACCAAATGAGGCACAGACACATAGGTATCAATACCTGCTAGAGACATAACGTATTTGACCCACCAGGCTAGAGTAGACACCGGAAGATGAGACTTTTGGATGGAGATGAAGAGTTCATGTTTCAAAGGATTCTGTAACGTAGTAGAACAATGTTCACACACCCATTAGTATGCAACAGGGCAAAGGAGAGAACTATCAGGGAAAACTGGGTAAGATAGATTTTAGAGGAGGTTTTTGTCCTCCGTGAAATGTCAAAGAGTACACCTTCTGGAGTAAAGGAACAAGCAACCACCTCACGAGCTCGTACGTCAGAAAAACCTCTTGCAATAAAAAATAAAATAAAATTCAAGACAATAGAGACGTCCCACAAGGCAGAGTATCGTGGTAAGGGTGAATGAGCAAACCATATTCCTCAGATAAGTCAATATATGACAGGATGTCAACCGACAGGCGTCCAATCAAAACTTTGATGGCCAGCAGAAATGGACGATCGGTAAGGTCCACAGTGCGATAGGCTTTACCTTCATTATAGAAATCAGAAAAATGGAGGACAGACATAAAAGGAGCCGATATGAGATTTAAATTTAATTTCATGCACCAACTATGCCATCTGCTCCAAGCAGATTTATAAGCCTGTCTCGTGTTGGGTGCACCCTTGATAAGTTGGGGAGTTGATTGCGAAACTCCCTTGACCGACCAAGGTTCCCTGAAATAGACTACACTATGAGATGCAAGAGACCTTGGAGAACAAGAGGATGAGGTACACCATCTGGATCCTGAAGAAGGCACTCGAGAGATGGAAGGTCGATAACCATCTCCTGAAGAAAAGAGAACTATGGGTGGGACGGCGATAGAGGAGCCACGATCAACAGGTGCCAGACTGGCGATGTAGATGGAAAGGCAAAAAATCATAATTCCTTGGAGAAAACATTCATAGCCAGTGCTATCGGATCTGGTCTCCAAGTGGAAAAACGGGGAAGTTGAGCATTCAAATGAGAAGCGAAAAGATCTATTTCCAATAGACCCCATAGGTTCCAGATGTCTTGGAAGACCATGGAATCCAAGTGCCAGTTGCTGGAATCTCCGAGTTGGCGTGAATACCAGTCCGTCGTAGTGTTGGAGAGACCTTGAATATATTCTGCCATGACTGAAATGCCGTGTCTCAGGCAAAATTGCCAGCAATCATGAGGCATGTAGGTCAGAATTTTGTATTTTGTGCCTCTAAGTGATTCATGTAGCGGACTGCTGACACGTTGTCCATCTTCAGAAGGATAGCGCATTGGGCTTGAGTTAGGGAGAAACTATGGACTGCAAAGGAACCGGCCAGATGTTCCAAACAATTGATGTGGAATGTTGATTCCAGGTGTGATTCTCTGCCCTTGGTGGAAATAGTACTGCATTGAGCACCCCAACCGTGCAAACTTGCGTCGGATTTAATTATCAAATCTGGAGCTGTACAAAATATGGTGTGCTTATTCCAAGCTTCCATGTGAAGAAGCCACCATTGGAGTTCATTCTCCGCTTCTGAGTCCAGAGTTGCCATATCTGTGTATGATGTGCTGCCCTTGAGATGAAGTTTGTAATCGTTGTAGGGCTCGATAGCCAAGAAGACCTGTAGAAATGGCCTGTATAGATGCCGCTAGAAGGCCTAACATTCTCAACAGTTGTTTGAGAGAGAGTTGAGAGGTTGCTAGTGTTCGCCTATCTCCTTCTTTATATTGGCTAATTTTGCCACCGGAGGGTGTAGAGTTTGAAGGGTAGAATCTACAATAATCCAATATAACCCAGAAATTTTATTTGTTGCGTGGGAACGATAAAAGATTTCTCCCAATTGGTCAGAAAGCCTAGGTTCTCTAACAGAGTCAAAGTCCATGCAAGGTATGTCCGGATTAATTGAATAGACTGAGCCAGAATGAAAAATGCCATCTAAATATATTATAAGATGTGAGCTTGGTGAAGCACCATGGAGCCGAAGACAGTCCGAATGGGAGGCACATGAACCTCTATTTACTGCCCTACCATGTAAATTGCAGGAAGTTCTCGATCTTGATGTTGTACTGGGATAGGCACTGTGAGATATGCATCCTGCAGATCCAATTTGGCCATCCAATCTGCTGGTTGGAGAAGATCCCTTAAACAATGCTCTCCTTCCATCTTGGAAGTGCTGATATGCTCATAACTATTGAACAGTCTCAAATTTATCACTGGACGGATACCTTTGCCTTTTTTGGGAAACAAGAAAAGGTTGCTCACGTAACCCAGGGTATGCGTCAGAATCTCTACAATTGATTGTCCACAGAGACAAGGTCTGTGGAACATTGAACAAGTAGAGAAAGGAAGTCTATGCAATACCCTTTCACAGTGTGAAGAACCTAAGCATCTGATGAAATGTGGGATCATACATGGGAAAAATGTGTGAGCCTGCCCCCCACTATCAGTAAGAAAGAATGGAAATTGTGAAGACGTCTTAGGAGCACCTCTTAGGCCACTAACAATCCAGGGTCGGCCACTTTGTGAGAAGGAGGTTGGTATAGTGCATTGTTCAAAGAAATCGGCTCGGCAAGTATAAGAGCCTTGGTTCTGTCTAAAAGAACGTCTGTTTGTTCTTTACAAAGTTGTCCCCAAAGAGAAAACCTTTTTCCTGTGTTATCTGGCTCGTTCAGAGCCATAGTTAAACGTTTGGGCTCAATCTTGAGCAAGATCGATTTGTGGCGTTCCATGACAACCGCATTGTTGGCGTTGCCAACTTAAATCACTCTCTGGATCTAACCACTTAAGATGGCGCAATCTACTTCTAGATCATCCTCCACTGCTTCAAAGATCTTGGCTGCTGAGCCCAAGATGCCCAGGATTTTATCCTGATAGTTTTGCAATGAAATTCTAAGCCTTTAGATGGCTTCCATCCTGTCTTACTCAGGAATTGAATGATTTTAGGATTGACTGATAGCGTTTAACATGAGTCATCAGGGACTGTTCGGCGTGGCCATTCAGCCCGCAATTTATTTCACTTTGCCTTCTCAAAAGGCTTGCGTACTCTGGATGCAATATACTTGGCTACATGGTCTGAGGAGACCACTGGGTGACATAGGTCTTCAGGTTCGAATAGGGGTTCACATTGAGTGTCCAAGATCCTATCGGTGTCCCTGAGTCCGCATAATCTACCTAAATCTTGGTAGGTTTAACAGGACGTGTATCCCAAATGGGATTAGCATCCTCTTCATCAGTAATTTCATAATCAGGATCAGAAATATCCTCTGAATCCTTCATATAGGACCCAGGGAACTCCTCCTCAATATCACTGAGCTCAGATTCAGAGTTCAGTTGGGCTTTTGCCCTTTTCCAGTCTAGTCGATTTTGCCCGACTAATAGCTCTTTTGCGCGGTGGTAAATTAATCGCGCCATCCGTGACAGGTATGGAACTGTCCATCTCTATTGTTTTGGAGGAGTGTTTAGCCTTATATGAGGCCTTGCGGCCAGGCTGAAGCAGCGCAGGTGTGAGTACAGGTACACCTCCATATAGAACTCGGGGAACTTCTCCTCAATATCACTGAACTTGGATTCAGAGTTTAATTGGGCTTTTGCCCTTTTCCAAAGTCTAATCGATTTTGCCCGACTAGTAGCTCTTTTGCGTGGTGGTAAATTAATCGCGCCATCCATGACAGGTATGGTACTGTCCATCTCTATTGTTTTGGAGGAGTGTTTAGCCTTATATGAGGCCTTGTGGCCTGACACCAGGGCCTTGTCATTGCTTTTGCCATGGAAGTGTCAATTAAAGCCTGCATGTCAGCAGGATCAGCAAAGCAGAAATTCAGCCTCATCTCCAGAGATACCTGGAGAGGCTTCTACATTAATCTGCATGTTTGCTGTAGACCCAGAAGGCACAGAAAGATCCTGCCAGACTGCATCATAAATATACAAACAAACCTAAGGGGCTGAATAAAGCAAAATAATACCAAAAGTAAAGGGTTGAGTAACCCTCAAGTAAAAAATAAATAAATAACTAAACAGGATAAAGAAATGAAAGTACTCACAATAGTGAAAAGAAATAGCAATTGTAAGATAAAAACAAAGGAGCTGCCCGGCTGCCACTATAACTAAACCCCAACTTGGATTTCTGGCAGTTGGTGGCAGAGCAGCAGCCAGACAGATAAATGGAGGGAAAAAACAGCACAATGGCACTATTCAGGGGATAAAGATCCTCAAAGACGTCCCTGAGCCCCAATTGATGATAATCTTGGGGCCAGGGAGGTCAGAGGGGAAATACATTATCAAAGGATATACAATAAAGCATATAACTGAAGCAAATGAAGTAAATAACTCAAATGACGTTAAAATGAAGAAACTAAATATATGTATAAACATGCAAATATTATAATTAAAATGTAATAACTATAATAACTATATTAACCACAGTAATGATATGAATAAAGTAAAGTAAAAGATCCCACAGTTAAGAACCATGGGACCAAGTGTCACTTAACTGAGGTAGCAGCAAAGAAAGAGGAAGTAGTATACTGGACACTGCCTATTATGCTATAAAGAGGATGCTGATTGGCTGTTCCTGTTGCTAGGAAGATATACCTCATGTTATTTACTGGTTTCTTTTATACTGATTTAATGTTATTTTTCTTTGCTGCTGAGGTAAATAAAGAAAGAGTGCAGCATAATAGGAGCCTCCGTGTCTTAATAAAATTAGATATTTACTGTACTTATCCATCCTAGACCACTTCAGACTTTGGGGTATAGGCTTAAATTAACTTTTTACACTAGTCAGCGTTTTATTAATCGTTAGCTGTGTGATTATCATCATGCCATCTAAAGGAAAGAGATCTAAAGCTGCAAAGATACGCTGGACTAAACTGGACCTTTCAGACCTACGCTTTCGGGATCCGGAGTCCCACAGCAGCATAGTGGAAATGGAGGTTTGTGACAGTGAATGTGCCCAGGAGGTACATAGTGAACCTGTGGTTTCATTCCCATGTTCAACTCAGTGTCACCTTCAAGAGCACAGTGACAGTGTGATGGGCATTTCTGAAAACCATGGCCTGCTAGAACCATGTGTACCAAGTGAGATATCTGTGCAGGCATCATTTCATCAGGGTCATCATGGCTATGGAAGGTTAAGGAACAAACAATGTACATGCATGGCTCTGACATTTTTGGCATACCACAGTGAGCTTGATGATGTGAGGAAGGATGATCTTGATCAAATACTGAAGAAGGGCAACAGCTTGTATGGCACAACAATAAAACAGCTAAAACGAAGAAATGTCTATCAGCACCAGCACTTGACAATGGAAGAAGTACCCCTCAGAGTCAACACTGACAAATATGAGAATAACGTTGTTAAATCTCCAGTGTTATCGGGATGTGTGAGAGTCACGGTAGACGGTGACAACCAAGGTTGGTTTGTTGACCTCTCCACAAGACTTTAGTGCCTCAAGGCAGATGTTACACATGCACTTTTTATAGTAGTGCCATATTGCATTATTCAGAGACAAGTCTGGGAGATATGGACTGTTTGATTCTCATAGTCGAAATAAGGATGGACTTCCTGCCACTGGAAAAGGAAAAGCTGTTATGATCACTTTTACACATATGCGTGATATGGGGGCAAGGATTTATAAGTTGTATAATGCTGCTAATGTTTTTATAAATGTATGTTTTAATGTAACTGTGAAGCACTTTGGGCAACAACGTTGCAATTAAATGTGCTATATAAATAAATAAAAATTGAAAAGTTGAAATGCATGTCTCATGCTATCAAGCTTGCCATGTGCACTTTTTAAATTTGATCAATCAATTGGTTAGTGTAATGTTTACTATCTTTACTCACTCCAAACACTCCACACAGTTACTCTGCCCACTCCATAAAGTTACTCTGTCCAGTCCAACCTTTCCACAGTTACTCCAGCCATTCCAACCACACAACAGTTACTCAAGCCACTCCACCCAGTTACTCCGCCTACTCCAGTTGTAGACTACTGGTGGAGGCAAGAACACTTCACACAATTTCCCCAGAAATTGTAGCTTTTCTAGTTGTATATATAGTATAAATAACGATAATGGCTTTTCTCTGTGATTTTTGCCCCTTCTCCTTCTTTTATTGATACCTAACTAAATGTTTGTTTTGCTTGACCCTCACCTCATCTGTGTATAGATACATCTCTTTAATTCTTAGCTTTACTGCAGGCCTATCTATCCCTAATATCTCTCTCCCACAGACGGAATTACAAGTTTTCTGCTTCAGAACTATACAAAACTCAGAGGACTGTCTCTCTGTGATTTCTAACTGGATGGCTGCTCACTTCCTTAAACTTAACCTGTTTAAAACAGAACTTTTCATCTTCTCTCCCTCAAGTGTTGTTACTCCTGTGTCTGTTTAATTTCAAGTCAATGGTGCTACCATCAGTTCTACCTCACAGGCTCACTGCCTAGGTATTCTCTTTGACTCCCACCTTTCCTTCACCCATTATGTCCCATAACACATCAAATCCTGCTGGTTCCATTTCGAAAACATAGTTCGCATCCGACCCTATGTAACACCTGATACAGCTTGGGTGCTGGTCCATGCCGCTATAATCTCTCACCTTGACTACTGTAATTTGCTTCTCAGTGGTCTTAAGTGTTCCCAACTTGCCCCATTGCAGTCTATAATGAATGCGACGGCGAGGCTCATCTTCCTGTCTGCCCGCACCTCCCACGCCTCCCCTCTCTGTTAGTCCCTACACTTCTGTTGCTTTTAAGATATAGGGCTCAATTTAAACTTCTGGTGCTTGCTTACAAATGTCTACATAATGCTGCTCCAACCTACATATCTCACTGATACACAAGTATGTCCCGTCCAGGCCCCTATGCTCTGTCGTAGACCTGAGTCTATCCTCTGTTCGTATTCCACCTCTGACGCCCACCTTTCTCTATGGCTGCACCGTTCCTCTGGAGCACCCTTCCCTGCTAGACTCTCACCCAGTCTCCGTTTATTCAAAAAATCTTTGAAAAATAAAAGTTCTTTAGTAAAGCATATTGATTAAACAGTTAATAACTTTTCCTCTCCATCTCGGTAACTCATCCTGCTTCCTCTCCTGCAACTGTGTCATCCAAAAAAGCCAGCCGTAATTGTAAGCTATTCTAGTACCCTACTTTTCACATACATGAAATGTATCCTACCCTTACTTCTAGTTCCTTTTTCGCTGCTTCTCCTTGTGTCATTTTACCCCACTCCCTCTAGAATGTAAGCCCACTGAGCAGGACCCTCAACACCCTCTCTTCCTGTGTGTCCAACTCGTCTGGTTGCAAATACTTGTCTGCTAGTCCACCCATTGTACAGCTCTGCAGAATTGGATTGGTGCTTTGTAAATAATAATAATAATAATGTGACATCCACTAGAATTACTTCTTCCTTAACCCCTTAAATCCGGAGGACGTACAATTACGCCCTCTAATAGGCGGCTCTAAACGCCGCCGGGCGTAATTGTACGCCCTCCGTTTTTTGTTAACTTACCCGGTCGCCGGCGGTCCCACGCCGGCGATCGCGGTGGGGGGGACTCCCAGGGAGCCCCCCCGCGGCAGATCCTTCTCCTCCGGTGCTCCCCGGCCATGTGAGAGTGGGGTCCACAATCACATGGCCGGGTAGGCTGCCTCCTGCATTGCCAGCAGGGGGGCTGCCTGTAATGACAGGTGGTCCCCCTGCTGGCTGGAAATAAAATTAAAATTACATTTATTGGTGTAAAATAAAAATAATATATACTTAGATCATATATATATATTATATATATATGATCTAAGTATATATATACACATATACATACACACACGTACACCATCTAGGTGTATTTTACTATTAATATATATATATATATATATATATATCAAATTACACGTAGACTGATACTGATTAAATATATATATAATTATTGTTATATATATATTTATATATAATATAAAAAAAATAAAAATGTAAATACGTTAAAAAATAAAATTAAAAAAATAATTAAAAATAAATAATTAAAAATATATAGATGTGTGTTATTTCGTTCTAACTGTTTTGTGAAATTAATATATATATATATATATATATATATATATCAAAATACATGTAGAACGAAATAATATATATATCTATATACATAAATATATACGTATATATCACTATATATATACCTATATATAAATAAAAATATTTAAAAAAAATTATATAGATATATACATATATATACACATACGTATATATACATATATTAATTATACATATATATTTATGTAATATTTTTACATAATTAGGTATCTTAATTAATTACAATTAGCAGGACCTGCCTGACAACCCATGCCGAAAGTAAAGGGAATTTAATTTGCTAGCACTATGTTTAACCCTATAACTTTCCGAGACACCATAAAACCTGTACATGGGGGGTACTGTTCTACTCGGGAGACTTCGCTGAACACAAATATTAGTGTTTCAAAACAGTAAATGTATTACAACGATGATATCGCCAGTAAAAGTGAAGTTTTTTGCATTTTTCACGCACAAACAGCATTACACGGACAATATTATTGCTGTGATACTTTTTACTGTTTTGAAACACAAATATTTGTGTTCAGCGAAGTCTCCCGAGTACAACAGTACCCCTCATGTACAGGTTTTATGGTGTTTTCAAAAGTTACAGCATCAAATATAAGGCTTGCGTTTCATTTTTTTCACATTAAAATTCGCCAGATTGGTTACGTTGCCTTTGAGACCCTATGGTAGCCCAAGAATGAAAATTACCCCTATGATGGCATACCATTTGCAATAGTAGACAACCCAAGGTATTGCAAACAGGGTATGTCCAGTCTTTTTTAGTAGCCACTTAGTCACAAACACTGGCCAAAATTGGCGTTTTTTGCATTTTTCACACACAAACAAATACTAACGCTAACTTTGGCCAGTGTTTGTGACCAAATGGCTACTAAAAAAGACTGGACATACCCCATTTGCAATACCTTGGGTTGTCTACTATTGCAAATGGTATGCCATTATGGGTGTAAATTTCATTCCCGGGCTACTATACAGTCTCAAAGGCAACGGAACCAATCTGGCAAATTTCAATTTCAAATGTAACGTGCTATATTTGACCCTGTAACTTCCCAAAACGCCATAAAACCTGTACATAGGGGGTACTGTCTTACACGTGAGACTTTACTGAATATAAATATGTGTATTTTATTGCAGTAAAAGCAAACAGTATTATGACACTGACCGTTAAAATGCCATGTAGAACTAAAAAAATCAAAAAAAATCTTATTTTCTCCCATTTTTTTCATATTAAATTATGTTTCACAGCTAAATATTTGATATTAAATGAAAGCCCTGTTTCCCCTGAATAAAATGATATATAATAAGTGTGGGTGCATTTACTATGAAAGAGGTGTATTACGGTTGGACAGACATGTAGCGCAAATGCCAGGTTTTGTTTACATTTTGTTTTGTTCACAATGTGTACATTTGGCTCCGTCCTTAAGGGGTTAAACCCTTGAATTCCCGTTCAGTGCCATCGCAGACAGTATTTGGTTTAGTTATTTTCTATGAGAGGCACTGGATTGGCTGAGTGCAAAAATTGCCACACAAATAGGCTTCTGATTGGACCAGAGATCATCAGCCTCAATGAGGTCATAGCAGGCAGGTCAGGCTGCAAAGAGGATTTTTTCTTGGCGCTAGATTACAGGCTTTTTCTTTTTTTTTCTTGCACAAATGGGGAACTCTGTAATTTAAACAAAAGAACACTTTAGAACAGAAAAGAATAGTTCTAATGGTAAAAAACAGAAAGTCTGTTATTACTATTAAGGTTATAGTTTATGGCTTTTTTTTAATAACACAAAACCCATGGGAGATATTTGTCAAACTCTTGAGTTTAGTGAAAATTAAACTCATTATTTTTATCGTATTTATTAAAGTTTTCTAAAAGTGATTTTTTTTTTTTGTGTTTAAAAAAAAAAAAAGAGACGTGAAATTTAACATTTTCTGTTGGAAAAAGTGCTTGAAATACTGATAAATCCATTGAATTGCTAAAAAAAAATAGCGTACATTCCAAAATGATAGAACGCTAAACGAGCAAAAGATGAAAATAAAATGACAGATTTGATAAGTTGTGTAAGTCCTATAACAGTAAGAAAATAATTGATCTATGTCACTTACCATCTGCTAAACAAATATTTTGATGCAGCTTTATTAACATTATATGAATCCATGCCTGTTTTTATTTAGTCATCCCAAGCCTTTACTTTGTTTAATTGAATGTGCTGTGCTGGATAATAATAATAATAATAATTTAAAAAAAGCTCATCAGCATTTTTTGCCATGTAATAGATTTTCAGTTTTGGGAAATCAGCGGAATGTTAATGAATAATTGCGGTAAAGACACTACAACCACTGAGAATGACTTATTCAGCTGGGGGAGAAATGTGATTTGTTCTAACTTATTCCATAATGCCTTAATCAACTATACAGCACAAGGCAAAGTTATTTTAAGGCATTGATGATGCCTCTGCTCCATTTATAATAAATGGCACTATTTATATTTTGCAATTCCCACACATACTAGAAACACGTTCGGCCCATCTAGTATGCCCAATTTTTACTAAATACTTTCATTAGTCCCTGGCCCTATCTTATAGTTAGGATAGCCTTATGCCTATCCCATGCATGCTTAAACTCCTTTACTGTGTTAACCTCTACCACTTCAGCTGGAAGGCTATTCCATGTATCCACTACCCTCTTAGTAAAGTAATACTTCCTGATATTATTTTTAATCCTTTGTCCCTCTAATTTAAGACTATGTCCTCTTGTTGTGGTAGTTTTTCTTTTGTTAAATACAGTTGTAGCGGAGCTCCCTGTACTCCGGCTAGGTACCTCCACCAAAGGGACTGCTTCCTAGCTGGAACAAGGGAACCGAAAGGGGACCTAGCTCTCAGTCCTTACAAGAACTTTCCCCGCTGCATCTTCCACCAGATGTGACAAGCTTGCCCAGGGATTAACCCTTTCTTCCCCCGCCCCCTCCAGTAACTGCACAACACCTAGTTCTGGAGGTACAACTCTGACAATCTTTATTGAAACACACAGCTTTTATGCACAGACCACACCAGGGGGTCTCCATTCAGTTCAATACACTTCCCTTAGTCCCAGACAGGGGGGGCTGGGTTACAGATAGCCTTCTCCCACCCTGGGAGATCCCAACAGCACATACAGTTAAACACATTAGAACATTTTACATACAGGGGGGACTACTTAGGAGCTCCGCGCCCCGGGAAGGGGTCACACATATAAAACATACATTACTAGATAGCCCCGGGTCCCAGCTGGGATCCCTGCAAATAGCGGGGCTATCGAAAGTACAAAGCCCGAGAAACCCTCGTACAAAGTCTGGGCTCGAGGCTCTGTACATCCCCGAAAGTAGTTCCAGGGGGTTGCTTGGTTCAGTCCGACAAATTCAAACTTGGTGCCTAAACCAAGTAACAACTAATCAGCTGAAAGGTGCGAAACCAATTCGCGCCAATCAGCGCTCAGGAGAAAGGGCGTGAAACCCCGTTTGTAAGGGCGCTCCCTCTCTGATTGGTCGCCTGCGCCCTGCAGCGACCAATCA